GTGTAGTATGCATTCATCCAAACAACTAACTTCCCCACATTCCTCCCTAATCACGTGTTTAATTGAACCGGTCACATGTATTAAGAAACATGATTCAATTAACTCATAATCGAGGACAATATCAATAAGATTATCCATAAGTAAAACATACACCAAACTAAATGTTCACAAAGTAAATGGTTTACTAAGGGGATTCAACCAACAAGGTCATCCATGTCAAAATTCTGCTTTTCCAAAGATGTTCGGTGGAGCAAAATCAATCTCACATATTGACTACGAGAATGGTACTCCTCAACAACATTGGTAGGGGCACTCATAGGTGCATAACCAATGATCTATTCCATCAAGACGAATGTAGATTCTGCAGGGTTAAAGCTTAGGAATATTATCCCTTTATTCTTAAAGTCTTAGGTCTTAGGTGCCAAGGATCACACTTCAGGCATGAAGCCACACCTTGGCAGGCCCTAATTCTACCATATGTTTGTGGTAGTAATCAGATCCGAGAATTTGGTAAACTTCCACTTTCTACACAACTGCTTCAGGGGTGAGTTAGAAACATGGAAGGACGAGAAAAGTATTCTATAGGCAAAATTCGATCGGATTTATAAATTTCAGAATTGTACTCATTCATGGACATAATCATGATGTGCTTCAAGCAATGTCTTTCATGATTAAACAGTCCGTAGGAGCGAGCCAAAGAGCCATGGAATCCTTGTTTGGGAGGTACTTCCATTTGTAATGCTTAGGGCATAAGTCTTCGAATGAAGATCATGGCGAAGGCTTATTCAGCTCTTCCATGCCATTGTTGGCGTCAATGGTTTCTCAGCTTCTTGATAGTCAAGTGGAGATTCACGTCTTGTACCCCACATAAAGTGGTTTCCATAAGAAACGTCTAAATCAGGGAAATTCAAACTTGTGACGGTTCGACAATCCACTAAATTAGAGGGAACAAGATTGTGATTGGTGCTATGGGAATGAATCATCAATAAGCATCAAAGTTAGCACATTTGAGTTTTAAGACATGGTTTACATGAAAAACGTCGGGTTTTCATAGGTGTATTGTTTTATGAAAACTTCGGGTTTCAAAGGCACTAAATTTGAAACTACAGGTTCAATTTAGTTTATGAATGTTTAGTTCATAAAAGAGAGGTTCCTGTAAGAATACAGAATGCAATATGTTGATTTAAGTGTAGTGGATTTGAGGTTCTTCAGGAACTTAAGTATGAGAGCTTCGTTACTACGAAAGTATGTCAACGGTTCAAAGTATAAAAATAAATTATTGAATTATTAATGTTTAAAAGTGGGCTTCAGGCCAATAATTTTGGATTAATTATTAGATTAATGGACTGCTTGTAAAATCCCATTCCTGAATTTCACTGTTATAATCTACGTATTGTTATTATTGAAATTTTATGTTATTTTCGGGAATTTATATTAATTTATTTGAATTTAGATTTTAATTAAACTAGTTACGAAGTTTGAAGGTTGAAAATTTATTATTTAAAATCTGCAAATCTTTCAAGGTCACAATTTATATTTCTGAATAGAGCTCGATCTCACAAACGCATAGGCGAAAGCCGTTTACACGTCCGGATTATAACGGTACAGTTACAGACATCTGAAGTTATGTTTCTAAACTATAGATTTTAATTTTCTTCAAAACTCCCCGTGGAAATGGTGACCAACCCAATTATGTGGAAGTTTAAGGGGGCCAATTAGAGGTAATGAAGAAAGGAAGGACCAATGAGGGAAAAAGGGATTTTTTTTCCCCTCTATCTTTAGTGGACCCTTTACTTGCACCAACCCGGAGTGGTTTCTGGCCACTTCCACCATTTTTTCAGGCGAAATCCAACTATCTCTCGCCTTCAACCTCTTCTACCGTCTCCCATCTTCCATTCCCACCGAAAATTGAGGGTTTTTAGGTCCAAAACCTTGTAAAACCGTGCGAGTTACCCCATGGAGTTTTGATGGCGATTCCGCCATTTCGGCGAGTCACACCACCCACCACCACCCTTAATCAACTCCCCTTGGACCCAAGAATAAGACCCAATTAGTTGTAGGGACATTGGAACATCGAGGAAGTCGAATCGCAGCACACCCATTTTAGAGTTTCTGACAGTTCGAGTGAAATTGGGGTCTTTCCAAGCTAAATTGGACTTGGCCACATGTATGAAACTTGTTACACTCATTGAGATCTACATACCTGTAAAATTTGGTAATTTTTAGAATTAGTTGAATTTTCCGGTAAGTCGGGGCGGCCGATCGCCACCCGCAACGGCGAATGCGGCAGTGTGTGGCCACTCGGCCGACGAAGTCTGTCTAAGTCCAATTAGATGCCCTAAATTCATAATTGATATCTGTATGAAGTGGTTTGATTGTTTGAACTTAGTTTCATTATGATACTTCACTTGATCAAAATTTGAATTGACGATCCGACAGTTGGATCGTCACCAAATTTTAATGCATTATAGAACGTAATATTTGAGGATAGCTGGAACTGATGGATTGAGAATCTGACATACAGATCTTCTTGAATTGGATTTCTAAGTTGGTAAAATTAATTGTTAACGGCCACCTATTTCTAGTAATTGGTGGAGATCCGACCGTCAAATCTCGGTGAGAATTTAGTATGAGGTTCTATGAGCATACTATGGACTCTGGGAAGTTATGGATTAGAAATCTGAAGAACAGATCTTCCGGATCGAATTACGTAAGGTTGTAGACCCTACCGTTGATCGAGAATTGACTTTTGGTCAATATGTCTCGAAACGTTCTAAATACTAAATCTAGTACCACGAAATATTAAGTGAAGTCTAGTGGGACCACTTGGGTCTGTGAGTGATTTGAATATATGTGATATAGTTATTGCCTTGATTTCTTATATTAATATCATATGTGAATATGATTTGGGTTATAAATGAAATTTCTATTGAAATGTGAATAATATATATTATATATATATATATATATATATATATATATATATATATATATATGCCATAGATCTATGTTTATTAAATGTGAATTCTATTGAAGTGTTATTTTTATTTCTGGCCATTGATCTATTTTTATTAAGTATGATTTGACTTATGCATTGGGATTATGGTTTGTATTGTATGATTGCATTGATGTGATGAAATGTGAGGGCTAGTAGTAGACCGTTAACCCATTGTCATGGTGTTTGTTGCTTCGAAACATGTTTCACCCCTCGTGTCATTATTTCATTTCTTGTTTCGTTTCGTTGAGTCTTTGTAACTTGAGTAACTGAACTTCATCCATGTCATGTTTCATTGATTGGTATTATACATTATACTTTGCGATTCTGTTGAGTGATGGTCCGAAATCGTATCCGCTTGGATTCCGTTGAGTGATGATTTGGAATCCCTTATACTTTGTGATTCCGTTAAGTGATGGTCCGGAATCGTATCATGGTTTGGATTTCGTTGAGCGATGGTCCGAAATCCCTTTTACTCTACGATTCCGTTAAGTGATGGTCTAGAATCCCCTTTGGTGTCTTGGTTCCATTGGGTGGTCTGAAATCCCTTTTTTCCAGAGATGTAGGTTTCGGCTGAACTGTGTTGCTCTAGCCCTGCATTTCAGTGTGTTGTACGTGTTATTATTTGGTGTGATTATTGGATGATGTTGGATGTAATTATTATGATTATGATAGACCATTGACCATAATGGCTATGGATTATTATTGCGCTTCATCGATTACTCTTTGAGATGCTGCTCGGCTGAATTGTGTATTATGTTGAGACATGGCGGTTTATGTGAGGAATATTCGAGTGTAGTGAAAATGGTGAACTACGAATGACTTGATTCCTATTGAGAACACGTAGACAATCTAACGAGAAGGTTAGATGCAACTATAAAGTATACAAAAATTACAACGCAATTCGAGTATTGAATTAGGCTTATACATATCCCGGAATTGCATCTTCAAATGCGTTGTATCATGTTCAACACAGAAAAATTAAATTGAATCAATAGCATGTAGATCAATTCAAAATAATAAATTAATCATAATAAGAATGATTAAAACGTAATACTCCTCTGATTGAAGATCAAATTCTCTTTAGCGCAACGTCAAGAGTGTGCTGATAACGTGTTGTAGGTATAATTTACTAAACAATTATGGAGGTCATAGAAAGAGGGAAGGTGCGGCAATAATAGAGAGAAGAGAGAGATGTATAATTGTGGGTATGTATAATTTACTAAACAATTATGGAGGTCATAGAGAGAGGGAATCTGCGGCAATAATAGAGAGAAGAGAGAGATGTATAATTGTGGGTGTATTCTATTCCACTTATTGTACCTTTATTTATAGAGTAAATTGTAGCTATGGTCCCTTAACTTTAACTCAATTGGAGCAATGGTCCCTCAACTAAAAATCCATTACCTTTGGTCCCTCAACTTATCAAAACGTGCAGCTATGGTCCCTCAACTAAAAATCCATTACCATTGGTCCCTGAACTTTAATTCAAGTGGAGAAATGGTCCTCTAACTTTAATCCAATTGTAGCAATGGTCCTTACAATATAACTCGTTTTGACAAATTTTTTGACATAGTTGACGAAAAGAACCATAATTATACACTTTGATGAGTTGAGGGACCCTAATTATATAAATGGTCATTTCAACATAGCTTATTTTGACAAAATTTTGACAAAATTGATGAAAATAACTATAGCTACACATTTTGATAAGTTGAGGGACCAATGGTAATGGATTTTTAGTTGAGGGACCATTGCTCCAATTTGATTAAAGTTGAGGGACCATTTGTACAATTTACTCTTATTTATAATAGTAAAATGTTAATTCCTTACCGTTTAGGATTATAACATTTAATAGTTAATCTATTCATAATATAAATATAAAATACATTATTACATCTATTAAAATTTACACAATCATATTTCTAATCTAATAAAATGACAACATATGTCAATTTATATCGAATTAATATATTGATTAAAGCTTAATTCTACCTTCAAATTTGATGCCTAACTCTCTCTCCTTTCTTTTTGTAAAATCGGAAAAGTCGGGAAAATAGTGTCATGCGGCTTTTAGATTTAGGGGTTTTGGTTTTGATTTTGAAAGTCGGGGAAGAAAGTCTTTGATTTTCGATTTTGATGGAAAAAGGAAGAGCCATCGCTTCGATTACGAATTCTTTGAACAAGTTGGATTTGATTTCCAAATCCAATCCCAGCCCCCAAATCCCTCAAATCCAATCCTCCAGTACGTCCCAAAGTTGAATTTGTTTCAGATACTTACACACGTACAGATATATGTGTATGTATGTATATATATACACGATTTGTGAGCTTAATTGAAACATCCATGGCAGGAACACAGCTTGAAAGGGCCAAGACTCCTCCGAGTTTACAAAGTTTGTGTATCGGAATCGTCGGCAGGCATTTGGAGGATATCATTCCCGACTTGGCCGAGATTGCATTTAACTTTCCGCCGGATATAAAGGTTATTCTCTATCCTTATTAGCAAAACCCACTTTTTTCTGTAAATTTGATTTCTTTTGGTAAAAAACTGTGATGGGTTTCTTTGTTGTGGATGGGTTTTTGTTTACATGTGAAGCTAATTAACATTTGCTGGTTCTGAATCTCAAGATTTTTGCAATTTCTGATATGGTAGGTGGCACTGGTGGCAATTGCCAGAAGAAGAAAGTTACTCGACGACGATGTTATTGTCTCTTTGGCTGATCATACATGGAAAAGTCTTGACCTTTCGGCATCAGATGTTTCGGATTTCGGGTTAGCAAAAGTGGCCGAGATATGTGGGTCACTTCAAGCTGTTGATATTAGGTACGGATGCTCAGTGTGATAATATCGTGTATCGGCTTAACTGCGGATTAAATAAGATATTTGAGTGACACCAACATACTTTGAACATGGAGAAGATGAAATGTTTTAACGGAAATCGGATGATTGTTGGTCTTAGTTTCGATATCCAATCCGTGAAGTGTGATACTTTGTAACTGTATTTAAGTTTATAATAACCTTGAGGCACAAATTTATATAAATTGTTGGTCTTAGTTAATATTTGTTTCAATCACCTGAGTAGCGATTGGCTAATACTTAAGGAATCAACATGTGTTTTGGTTTCAAACTCTCTAGTCTGTTTTGTCTGAAGAAACTTTGTGGTTGTACTGATACATTTCTTCTGCAGCCGGTGTGACAAAATCACTGCTGCTGGAGTTTCTGAACTTGTGCAGCGTTGCCAATCATTGGAGACTTTGAGATGCGGGTAAACACCTTTCCTTAACATAAAAAAATATTTAAACTTCATTACAAGTTTCTATATGCGCATCAATCTTTGCCATGGTCTTGATTAGAGCTTTTGGAATTGAAATGATTCTGTAACCAGAAGACATTGTTATACATTAGAAGTTTTATTGATATACGAACACCTGAGTGAATTTGAACCCGGTTGCTTTTTTCTATCTTTCCTTTGTTGTTAATGTGACTGACTTTCAATTTTCTAACTGCGAAGTAGAAAAATTTAGTTGTACCTTGACCTTGTGGAATGAATTAATAACAATTTGATCATAATAAGATATGAAGTTGTCTAGTATATCTCCAAGGTGCTTCTAAAATCATATTCCTTTGCTTCGTAATCATCATATGAAATTGTCTCCACTAAAATAAAATTAGTATAGGCCAAGTAATCTTTTACTTTTTTGTTCCACCCCTTGTGCTTTTAGTGGCCCGTAATATTGTGTTTGACTACCAGTAACTTCATAACAGGCTATGAATTGCAGAGGGAGCCCTAGGAGTGACCACACTGCACGCAGGTGCTTGGATGTATTTAAACCGAAGTTGAATGATGTAGAGGGAGATTCCTGGGAAGAACTGAATACTGCAGAAATTGTGAATGGTGCAGAGTCATTGCGTTGGCTTGTATGGGTATGTACTTAACATGTCCTTTTATGATACTATTCTTCATCAATGATTAATTTCTTTGATCTTTTGTCACCACTATGTTATGATGAAGTTGCTTCATCTCTTCCCTACGTAGTAGAATGCTTGACTGTCTTCTTGACTTTCCCTTTATTGTCATATGCATACATGCTTTGCATTACCAAATGATAACTTGTAACGAGACAGGTTGTGATCCCATGCCCGATGCCATGAATAGAATGGACACATTTTTTGGTTCTCTGTGTGAACTTATCCGAAAAGTTGGAAAAGATTAAAAAGAAAAAATGGATTCCATCTTTGGGCTTCGAATGGTAGCATGTTGGCAATAGTAAGAGTAGGGATGTGTAAAACAGTGTCACAAGGAAAGCTTAGATGTATATGGAAGATTGAATAACCTAAAGGAAATTTAATAGGGGGCTACAGCCCCTACTAGTAATTAGTTGGAAAGCTTAGATGTATATGGAAGATTGAATAACCTAAAGGAAATTTAATAGGGGGCTACAGCCCCTACTAGTAATTAGTTGGGTCCGCAAGCGGTGCACGAGTTTGTGGTCGGCTATGACTATTCAATTATTATGCCCCTAGAGAAACAAGTAGGAGAATCACTTTCTGCTTCTTTATCTGTTCCTGCCTTGTGATGTTTTAATTCCTCCTTTCATGTTTTGCAGCCAAAGATTGATAATGATTCTCTTGAGGGATTTGCCACCGAATGCCTGCGCATTACAGTAAATCCAAAGCCATCACCCTTCGGATTCAGTGGAACCCAAGTTCCCAAGGAGGCATTCCCAGACATCCAATTGGATGATTCTGTTGTCAAGGATATTGATCCCAAAACATGGGCGGTGCGTGGTTTTACACCAAAGGCAATACCTTCATCTCTTTCCAGCCCCGAGGAGTTGTCTGTGGCTGAAAAGTTTAGACGTGCATTTGAGGAAAGGGATACTCGGTTAGCCCCCAAGAGAGCCAAAAATGCAAGGCAGCATCGGCGACGTGCGGAGAGAGACTGGGTGATGACGGATACTAGAGCAAAGGCGGTCGCTCTAGCCTCACGAGCGAGCAGATCTCTACACAGTTGGAACTAGCACGTATTGTTTGTTTGCATTACCTTCAAATGTACCAGGTTTTCGTCAACTTTGCTGCTAAATGAATGTGTTGTACTGTTCGTGTCTTATGCACATGCAACTATTATTTTGTTAGTTTAGGGTGGATTATTTTGGTTCAGTTTCAAAAATAGTGTGGGTTATTAGTATCGCATGCTACCAAATAAAATTTCAGATTGTGCCAAAACCAAAACAATCAGTTCCAATGAACCAACCTACAGGTATTTTCACGCAACCCTAAAAACAAGGACAAGCAAGGGACTAACAAAAACTTCGTTTGATTAATCCGTGATGCAATCTCGAAAAACCAATAATTCATTTGGTAATGCTCACAAAAACAAATAACACTATAACCTCACATTAATTTTTAATTAGAAAACAAACCCAGATATCCAAATTTAGTAATACCACAATCCCTCTCTTATTTCACTACTAAATTACACTTTCTAAAACACAAGAAAATAAAATGAGAAAATTTAAGATTACTAAAAAATTTCAAAATGACAGAAATAGAAATGACGGAACTTTATTTTCTAGAATTTGTAAATTTTCTTGTTTGTTAACCTAAAAAAATACAATGGAATTTTTTGTTTTTAAATTCTCACTCCGATTAGAAGATGCGACTATGGGACAGAGGTTCAGGGCCGAAGGGGTAGAGGAAGACCCAGGAAAACTTTGAGAGAGACCCTATGAAAAGACTTAGAGTACTTGGATCTAACGGAGGACATGACACAGGACAGAACACAATGGCGTTCTAAGATTCATATAGCCGATCCCACTCAGTGACTTGGATTTTCCAAGTCTCCAACCGAGAAGTTGTCCTCGCTCGGGAAATTAAGGGAACACTACCTCAACCTACATGCTCCACTCACAAAGCTCCAACATACAAGCTTCAACAAAAGAAAATTCAAAGAACTTAGCGAAGAAGGCTTTGGTGATTTAACACAATACGTTGAAATGAAGGAAAACTTATTTATTGATATCCCCGATAAATTACAAATATGTACATATACTTAAGTCAAAATAAACAAACAAGAGGGAGCCTTCACAAAGGTTGCTTAGGAGAAGTCTCGGCAGTCGGTAGAGCCCCAGAAAGAGAAGGCACCGGAGGGGGATCATTCGGAGCCTCAGTACTGGACAGAACCCTAGAAGGAGGAGGCATCAGAGGTTGATCATTTGGAGCTTCATTACGCGGCACAGCCCCAGAAGACGAAGGCAATAAATGCCTTTGGAACAAACCCACAAATCTTTGATGATCAAGTAAAACCTGACCATCAGATTCCTTCATCTGGTCAAGCTTCCTCTTCATGTTTGTAGCATAGTCATGTGCGAGCCGGTGCAACTGTTTATTCTCATGCTTGAGCCCTCTAATCTCCTGTTTGAGACTCATCACTTCAGCCGCCACTGATTCAACTTGGCGGGTTCGAGCAAATAGGCGTTGGGCCATATTAGACACAGAACCTGCACACTGAACACTAAGAGCCAGAGAATCCTTAACAGCCAACTCATCAGACCGTTTGGAAAGTAGTCTGTTATCTTTGGGAGTGAGAAGGTTCCTGGCCACTACCGCAGCGGTCATATCATTCTTCATCACGGAATCCCCAACGGTAAGAGGACCAGTAGGGGGAGACGAAGGATGGGCGCCATATGTTGTCTGGAGAAGGCGGGGCTGCCTCTTCAACAAGGTTCAAGTCAAAACGACGGTCGGAGGGGCCAGACATTTTCAAAGGTGTAGAAGAGAGAAGAGGTCGGACAAATCAAGATCTTAGAAGTGCAAGAATGAAGCTTCTACTGGTGGATATTCAAGTGTGCTTTGGAACTTAATGTCAGCCTCTATAAAAATCTGCACTCGACGAAGCTTCAGAAATCGAAGAGGCGTTTGCTTTCTCAAAAGCTGGGCTGCTCAGAGACCACGAGGGTCGATGTCAGAAATCGAAGAGGCGTTTGCTTTCTCAAAAGCTGGGCTGCTCAAAGACCACGAAGGTCGATCTCAGAAATCGAAGAGGTTTGCTTTCTCAAAAGCTGGGCTGCCCAGAGACCACGAGGGCCGATCTCAGAAATCGAAGAGGTTTGCTTTCTCAAAAGCTGGGCTGCTCAGAGACCACGAGGGCCGATCTCAGAAATCGAAGAGGCACCAACTTTTCCAACCTTGTCAGCACCTGTCACACGCACATTCAGCTTTGCGGAAATTATGGGCATTCTGTCGAAGATTTCTGGCGAAGTAGAAAGCACATGAATCGTACTGTTCAATCATCCACTTCCCACACGCAACAGTAGCTCATGGGTACCACATATAACTTTGCCAAAGTTCTCTGACAAAGTTGAGACTACTTTTCCAGCCTTGTCAGCACCTGTCACACGCACACTCAGCTTTGCGGAAATTATGGGCATTCTGTCGAAGATTTCTGGCGAAGTAGAAAGCACATGAATCGTACTGTTCAATCACCCACTTCCCACACGCAACAGTAGCTCATGAGTACCACATATAACTTTGCCAAAGTTCTCTGACAAAGTCGAGACACGTGAAGCTTGCAACTCTCACTACATCGCTCTGACCAAGAAGGGTAAAAAGAATAGCAAAGAAACAACACTAACAAAGTTTAGACACATAAATTTTGAAGGCCTAGCTACCATATTATTACCCACAAGGGTAAAGGAACAGTACCACTGCTGGATAATTGGAAAGTCTCGGTGTGTCAACCTCTGTGCTTCATGGCAAGGTAGACTAGCAAACATGCCCAACCTTTACTCACATTCGAGAAAACACTCCCAACAAGATTGCTTGCCCCAAAATCGAAGAGGCATCGCCCTCCGAATCTCGAGAGCCAGACTCCCAACATGATTACTTTCTCAAAAATCGAAGAGAGGGTAAAGGAACAGTACCACTGCTGGATAATTTGAAAGTCCCTGTGTGTCAACCTCTGTGCTTCGTGGCAAGGTAGACTAGCAAACATGCCCAACCTTTACTCACATTCGAGAAAACACCCCCAACAAGATTGCTTGCTCCAAAATCGAAGAGGCACCGCCCTCCGAATCTCGAGAGCCAGACTCCTAACATGATTACTTTCTCAAAAATCGAAGAGAGGGTAAAGGAACAGTACCACTGCTGGATAATTGGAAAGTCCCTGCGTGTCAACCTCTGTGCTTCGTGGCAAGGTAGACTAGCAAACATGCCCAACCTTTACTCATATTCGAGAAAACACTCCCAACAAGATTGCTTGCTCCAAAATCGAAGAGGCACCGCCCTCCGAATCTCGAGAGCCAGACTCCCAACATGATTACTTTCTCAAAAAATCGAAGACACCGCTCTCCGAATCTCGAGAGCCACACCCCCAGCATGATTGCTTTCTCAAAAATCGAAGAGGCATCGTTCTCCGAATCTCGAGAGCCAGATCCCCGACATGATTGCTTGTTCGAAAACCGAAGAGGCACCACTTTCCCAACTTCAAGAGCCGGATCTCCTTGGATAAAGCTTGTCTATAATCTTCACACGCAACATCAGCTTTCCAGATACCACAGACCACTTTTTCAAAGTGCTCTGACAGAGTTAAAACTTGTGAAGCTGGCAGCTCCCACTACCGTGCTATGACCAAGCAGGGTAAAAGGAATAGCATTATTACTTGATGTTAGGGAGACTCCTATATATGTCGACCTCCATCCCCAACGGACAGGCAGACCTGCAAAAATGCTCAACCCTTCCTCTTATCTGAGAGGGCACTCCCAACGAAGCCTTTCGAAATATTCAGCTTTCTTTCCCCCCGATAATACCTCTGTAAACAAGCTATACTAGAGCAAGAATATCTCATATCATCAGGGTTAAAAGCAAGAGTATCCCATATCATGCTTTTTCCCTGTCTTTTCCTTTGGCCTTGTTCTTACCTGCAAGACAAGGAGAAAGAGAGAGCAATCAGTCAGCACTTGGAATCAAGCTTCCAGCCAGGAACTGACTGCCTGGAACCCCCTACCCTGGCATTGCTCTCGAGTACTCATCTTCAACATCTTATGCTTCCAGGGAAGATACCGCATCTGCCTGAGGAACAGATAGGGCAAGTGAGAAGGATACAAGGAAGCATGTGGAGACAAGCGTAACAGCACACGTGCCGATACATCCACTACTCTGTCAAAAGCAAAAGTATCCCATATCAGCAGGGTCGAACGTACTCTAGATTTGATGGACTTGTTTTGACCCTCAAATTCTTCAGTCGGCCTTATACTTTGGAGGAAACCAGAAAACCCTCTAGCCCAGTTCAAGAATAAGCCTGTGGAAAGTTACTTCTTCAAAAGCAAAAGTATCCCATATCATCTCTTCTCATTTTTCTTCTCTTTATCCTTCATGCTGCCTGCAAGATAGGGAGAATGTGAACAATCAGCCGGAGCTCTGATTGCTTACCTTGTCTGTTACCTCTTTCAGCAGATCCCCTAGCTCGGCGACTTGGGGGACTCCTACTACATGGTTTGTATCGCGCTTGACCAAGCCTGAAACTAAAAGTAAGCTTCAAGTGACATTGATACATTACCTTGTGCATCTCCACCAGTTACAGATACCACCCCTGGATGGAGGAAGAGTACTTCCAGAGAAGATTCCACATCTACCTATGAGACAGATAAGGAAAGTCAAGACGATACCACACTCCGGTACTTAGAAGTTTCGTGGTTACGAGATCATTCTCCCACAATATTTCCTAATGTCATTTGTACTAAATCATTCACTTGTACTCCCTAAAGGAGAGCTTGAACCTATGTACTTGTGTAAACCTTTCACAATTAATGAGAACTCCTCTATTCCGTGGACGTAGCCAATCTGGGTGAACCACGTACATCTTGTGTTTGCTTTCCTATCTCTATCCATTTATATACTTATCCACACTAATGACCGGAGCAATATGGCGAAGATCACAAAAAGTGACCGTTTTCGCTACCTAGGATCTATCTTGCAAGAGAACGGAGAATTAGATGGAGATCTCAACCATAGAATACAAGCTGGATGGATGAAGTGTAAGAGTGTATCCGGCGTGTTGTGTGATCGTCGTAGGCCACTGAAGATCAAGGGAAAATTTTATAGGACGGTAATAAGGCCAACGATGTTGTATGGCACAGAATGTTGGGCGGTGAAGCATCAACACGTACACAAAATGGGTGTAGCGGAGATGAGGATGCTTCGTGGGATGTATGGGCACACGAGAAAGGATAAGATTGGGAATGAGGATATCCAAGGTAAAGTAGGAGTAGCCAAAATTGAAGGAAATATGAGAGAAAATCGGTTCCGGTGGTTTGGACATGTGCAAAGAAGGCCTACTGACGCTCCGGTTCGAAAATGTGACTACGGGACAGAAGTTCAGGGCCGAAGGGGTAGAGGAAGACCTAGGAAAACTTTGGAAGAGACCCTAAGAAAAGACTTGATTACTTGGATCTAACGGAGGACATGACACAAACCCGAGCGCAATGGCGTTCTAGGATTCATATAGCCGACCCCACTTAGTGGGAAAAGGCTTTGTTGTTGTTGTTGTTGTATAGAAATTTGGAAATAACACCTATTCAAGAAATTTAAACTTGAGAGTTAGAGTCCCAAATTCCAAGTTTTTTTCTACTTGGAAATTCTAAATTTCTATGTTTATGAATTCAAGTAAGAGAATTGATGTATGTTAATCTATAATTCTGACTTTTGACAAATTCCATATTTATTTCCTTCGTCCTGCATCACTTTCTTTAGGAAATCGCAAAGGCCTTGCCTTATCTTCCAATGGTGATCGTATATCTTGCCTCACACAGTATATGGTGTGCCCAGTGTGTGAATTTTTTTCTATACGATTTAATTTCTGTGAAAATATTGAAAAAATTAAAGAAAAGATATGGAGGGGAATGTGAAGTCTAAACTTCACAAGATAATGAAAAACTTTTAAATTTCGGCTAAAAGCGATAGATTTCGTCGATATTTCCAATATATCGGTAAAATATCGACAAACTTTCATATTATATTTTCCTAAAGCTTCATTTTAAATGTCCACGTTTTTTTAGCAAATTTCCGTCATTTGTATCTAAGGCAACGATATCTATATCAATATATCCATCGATATTTTCATAAATTTGCATATCGATATTTTTATCAATACCAATATTTTAAACACTGAGCATGCTTCAACTCAAACTGATACATACAAATTTTTTTAGCGTCCACCAATCAAAGAATTTAAGAATGATATGTTTATATGCATCATAAGAAGTAAGAACTAGTGAGAATATGTAGATGTACATTATTGGTTTGAAATACAATACGCTTTGAATTTCGAAGGTCGAATTCGGTACCATGATAACACAAGCACTCTGCTGGTAAGTGAATGTCAACATTGAATTCAGTGCCATGATATCTTAGTCAAAAACATTAACTCCCAAGTCATTTCACTTCTTCGATCTCATTTGCTTACTGCTATTGCTTTCAGGTTGAACTTCAGTTTTTTATTAGATAATGTGCAAACTGTGGAACATAATGGCCTGGTTAAAAAGAAGAGAATCGGAATCAGTTACTTATTCATTTTTGTTCTTGTAAATATTTGTGCAAACATGCCAGATTTAGAAACAAAGAAGCATACAACAGTGTAACATTCTATCTGTATAGCAAAAAAGTAGAAACAAACCACACAAACTCCCTCTATCTGCACAGAATAATTAATGACGTTTAACGATTACAACATAGAGCTTCTTCACAATAATATTTTGGAACTGAGAAAGTGCATTGCTCCACGGCAAATTAGACAACAATGAACCAAGAACAATCCAAAACCCAAATGCAAATCCAAGCCCCAAGCTCAGATAGAACCCGCCATCTTCAAGTAAATGACCTTCTCCGTGCTTCTCATCACCTACCGGTGGCATGGCCTCTTTTGTACTGTGACACTCTTCCAATGGAGGTCCGCAAAGTTTATTGCCAGCATAACTAGACATATCAAAGCTTTGAAGCTGAGTGCCTTTCGGAATCTGCCCTATCAGATTGTTATAGGACAAATTCAGATAATTGAGAAATGTCAAGTTTGAGATGCTTGGAGAAACTTCGCCACAAAGTTGGTTCACGGACAAATCAAGCGACTCTAACATTCTCATATCACCGATTTTGGAAGGGATTCTTCCAGTCAGAAGATTATCGGATAAATTCAACGTTTGTAAGCTAATGAGACTGGTCAGTGCTTCCGGGATTTCTCCAGTTAACATGTTGTTGGAAAGGTCCAAACTAGCGACCAACCGAAGCATTGTGTTATAGTTCACTTCTCTTCCTTTGGTCACAAAAACTGCAGTCTCTGTGTAGGACTCCCCAAAAAGACCAAAACCGAAAAAAGAAGCATCCAAGAATTGAATACTGGTAGGTCCTTCGCTTGAAAAGGTATTGGCCATGGATGACAAATTTTGGAAACATCTGGGTATCGTTCCCGAAATATTGTTATGCGCAAGGTCCAAGATTTGGAGATTTGTGAGACTACAGAGCTTATAAGGAATGGCGCCATGGAACTGATTTGAACGAAGACTAAGAACTACCAAGCTTTGGCCAAACCATATTGGAAAGCTTCCAGCAAACTTGTTTCCACCAAGGTCAAGAAGTAACAACTGCTCACAGTTTTGTAGGGACACAGGTAATTCTCCAGATAGCTTATTATTGCGCAAGTGCAAAGATCGAAGGGAAAGTAGGTCCCCGATAGAGCTTGGAATTTTCCCCATCAAATTGTTGTCTTCTAAATTCACAACTGTCAAGTTTGGCCAATGTAACCGACAATCAGGAATTTCTCCAGTGAGGAGATTGTTGCCAAGATGAAGAACAAGAAGGTTTTTAGGTACATCGCTCCTATCACAAAGTAAGTGAGAGAGAGTTCCCGAAAATGATGAATTGGAAAGATCAAGTGTAGACACTGCCGAAGACACAAGAGGCAATGAACCATTGAACTGGTTAGACCTTAAGTCAATTAGGATTCCTGAAACTTGGGGATCGAAACGCTGTTGTTTTGGCCAGTTGGCGGAAACTATGTTTGGAACCTCGCCGGACAACTGATTACGCGAGAGATCCACAAAATATGCACCATTCGAATAAATGTTCCAAAACCAAATCGGAATTGTACCTGAAATTCCTGTATTGGACATGTTAAGAGCGGACAAATGTTTTTGACTCTTGAGCCACGCAGGTAACTCTGATGGGTCCAGATGCAATGAACTTAAAGTCAAGATAGAAAGTTGAAAAGGAGGAAGCCAGTCTGGGCTGGTTTTAAGAGTCAAAGAGTTCTCATTTGCAAAAAAGTTAATCAATCTTGTAAGATTAGTAAAATGAACTTCAGAGATAACACCCTCGAATGAATTGTTATCAATGGCCAACTCCTCTAAGAGTGATAGATTTCCTAAAGACACTGGAACGGGACCCGATATTGAATTATTTGAAAGATAAAGATAACGTAAATTTTTGAAACTTTCAAGTTGATTAGATAAATGACCTGAAAAATTATTATCCAACAAATCTAAATAATATATTTGACCAGAACTACATCGAGACAAACTTTCAAAGATTGCTGATACCCTCCCCCAAAAATTGTTCGACGATAGATCAATAGCAGTCAACTTACAAAGATTTCCCAATGAGTTTGGGATTTCCCCTTCAAGCTGATTGCTACGCAATTTAAGATCAACAAGGGCTGTCAAGTTTCCAAGGGAACTCGAAATTTCACCATGGAAAGCATTCTGAGAAAGAAAGAGGAACTCAAGATGGCCCAAACCGTACAACCATTTAGGTATGGTAGAGTTGAAATGGTTCCGGTGCAGATAAAGAACTTTAAGACTTGTCAAGTTCGCAATACCACTTGGTATGTGATAAAGTTCGCAACTAGACAAATGTAACTCGACTAGCAGAGAAGGGAGTGTATTTGCTTGTAACCAATGAGATGCGTTGGTAAGATCTACAAAACTCATGTCAAGATGTTTCAACAGAGAAAGACCAGAGAGCCATTTGAGATTCTCGACCATCGAACCAAAGTTGTGAGAAAGGTCGAGATAACGCAGACTCGAGAGATTCCCCAACTGATGAGGAATGGTTCCATTGAACCCTGCATACGAGAGGTCAAGATATCTTAAACCTTTAAGAGAACCTAGAAAGCTAGGAATTTGTAGTCCTTCAAAATTATTGTAGCTCAAGTTCAAGTAGCTGAGATGCTTTAAATTGAGTAGAGAAGGATTTACATTACCACCCAAACCGTGTTCCTCACCAGTTTCTTGATCATAATTACCAGCAAGGTGGAGCTCATGGACATGACCGGTTAAATTATCACAGGCAACACCGATCCAGTTACAACAATCGCTTGCACCACCCCAGGAGGAAAGCATATTTGACGGATCATCAAGATCTTTCTTGAACAGAAGGAGTGCTTGTCTCTCATGTTCTTTGCAAGGCACATACAGGTCCCCCTTGCATAAGCTAACTGTAAAAGACGCAATGCATAGGAGAAAGCTGACTAGTGAACCAACTCTCATGACTCTATCCATATAGATATCAAGTAGGTGATGGATGTGAGTAATGAGTACTTTAGAGTGCTATATCATATATATATATACACACATTAGTAAAGAGTACAGGTCCAACCTCGACCCTACTCTTAATTTATATATATATATATATATAGGGAAGTGTTATTGGCACTCCAAAAATCTCATTCTACACTCCTCAAAAGTGTATTTTTCTTTCTAAATATAGAAAGTTTGGAGTGGAAAATGAGAATTTTGGAGTGCCAATAAAAATTCCCTATATATATATATATATTTTATTTTATTTTATTTGAACAAACGATATTACCTACATTGTGGGTAAGGGAGTATGGTAAGTCTCATTATGAGCTAGCAATAATATTACCTAAATTTTATAAGGCAGTCAAAACTCAGAAGCATGCGGTTGCAATGGTTGATCCACTTAATTAGTTTTATGAAATACGTGTTCATTTTGTGGAATGAGCAGTCATCCACTTAATTAGATGAATATTTCTTAACAAAAATTAACAACGACTTAGTGCCTTGAAAATAAAATAAAATACAAAAAACTTCATCAAATCTTCATCATTCGTCTCTTTTAATGGTAGATGATGTTCTTTCTTAATTTATAGATCAGCTAATAGGAGGGGAGAAAAATGAACAAGATGTTTGGAATTAAAATAAGTTTGGGCTTAGACAACAACTAAATGCCTTTATTTCATTCAAGTACTAATGAATGGTTTATTTTTTTTTCTTGTGCAAAATGATATTATCTACATTAAGGAGAGGGAATGAGTTTAACCTCACAATGGACTAGTAATAATGTTGTTCAAATTCACCTTTGACAAGTTTTGAATCTAAAACCTCTTATTTATAAGTGAAGCGGAACACCATTAGACTGTATTACTAAGTGGCAGTACTAATGAATATTTAATTTCAACAGATTTGAACACTAACCAAGCCCTAGGCTTAGCAAGTACTTTACATGTGGCATTGTGGACAACAAACACCCTTTCGAACTGTACAATTAACCCAATCGATTTTTACAACTACTTTTTTTTATGGCATCAGGCCACCACCACCGGGACGCGCTCTCTCCTTTCCACCACCACTTGGTCCACCTCCCTCCACCACCACATAATTCCCGATTTTAATATTTAAGTTTTCTAATCCAAGTTCTTATTGATATGATGTTAAACATTGAAATTAATGTGTATTGGATGAAAATTTTGGATTCGCAATAGACTATAGTTATTGACATGACCTATAAGAAAACTATATAAAGTTTTCCCTTCTTTGTTCATGTGCTGGTTTAGCTCATATGCATAAGTAATGAATGGAATAAAGCCCTATCAAGGGATACCAGACCGATCTTGCTCCGGCCATGACATTTGCACATTTAGATGTTACTATCGTACTATCAAAAGGATTATCTGCCAAGGGTACAATACCTTTATTCGCACTTCAAATATGAATACTACTATTGGAGTTTTATGATTTATGAAAAAATAAAATTGCACATTTAGATGCCACTACTGTACTATCAAGATGATTAGTTGCCAAGGGTACAATATTTTTATTCGCACTTCAAATATGAATACTATTGCCGGAGTTTTATTATTGACGAAAAAAAAATCAAAGCCCCTTATCGGATTTGAACCGATGACTTACGCCTTATGGGTCTAAGGTAAGGAATAACCAATTACACCAAAAGATGCGTTTGCAATTGTTTATCCACTTAATTAGTTTTATGAAATACGTGTTCTTTTTGTAGAATGAGCAGTCATCCACATAATTAGATTAATATTTCTTAACAAAAATTAACAACGACTTAATGCCTTGGAAATAAAATAAAATAAAATAAAATAAACTTCAACAATTTTTCATCATTCATCTCTTTTAATGGAAGATATTGTTCTTCCTTCATTTATAGACCAGCTAATAGGAGGGGAGAAAAATGAACAAGATGTTTGGAATTAAAATAAGTTTAGGCTTGTACAAGAACTAAATGCCTTTATTTCATTCAAGTACTAAGTGGCAGTACTAATGAATATTTAATTTCAGCATATTTGAACACTAACTGAGCCCTAGGCTTTGCAAGTACTTTACAAGTGGCGTTGTGGGCGGCAAACACCCTTTCAAACTGTACAATTAACCCAATTGATTTTTACAACTACTTTTATGGCACTTTAGTAGTTTGGAGGGGGTGAAAGCTCATGTTGCAATGTATCCCATCAGGCCACCACCACCGGGTCAACCTCTCTTCTTTCCACCACCACTTGGTCCAACTCTCTCCTCCACCAAATAATTCCCGATTTTAATATTTAAGTTTTCTAATCCAAGTTCTTATTGATATGATGTTAAACATTGAAATTAATGTGTATTGGATGAACATTTTGGATTCGCAATAGACTATAGTTATTGATATGACTTACAAGAAAACTATATAGAGTTTTCCCTTTTTTGTTCATGTGCTGGTTTAGCTCATATGCATAAGTAATGAATGGAATAAAGCCCTAGCAAGGGATACCAGACCGATCCTGCTCCGGCCACAACATTTGTACATTTAGATGTTACTACCGTGCTATCAAGAGAATTAGTTGCCAAGCGTACAATATCTTTATTCTTACTTCAAATATGAATACTACTGTCAAAGTTTTATGATTTAAGACAAAATCAAATTGCAAATTTAGATGCCACTACCATACTATCAAGAGGATTAGTTGCCAATGATACAATATTTTTATTCGCAATTCAAATATGAAAACTATTGCCGGAGTTTTATGATTTATGAAAAAAAGCAAAGCCCCTTATCGAATTTTAACCGATGGTTGACGCCTTACGGGTCCGAGGTAAGGAATAACTAGTTACACCAAAAGATGTTGTTGCAATAGTTTATCAACTTAATTAGTTTTATGAAATATGTGTTCTTTATGTGGAATGAGCAATTATCCACTTAGTAAGATTAATATTTCTTAACAAAAATTAACGACGACATAGTGCCTTGAAAATAAAATAAAATAAAATAAACTTCATCAATTTTTCATCATTCATCTCTTTTAATGGAAGATAATGTTCTTCCTTCATTTATAGACAAGCTAATAGGAGGGGAGAAAAAATGAACAAGATGTTTGGAATTAAAATAAGTTTGGGCTTGTACAAGAACTAAATGCCTTTATTTCATTCAAGTACTAATGAATGGTTTTTTCTTTCTTTGTGCAAACGATATTTCTACATTAAAGGGAGGGGGTGAGCTTAGTCTCACAATGGACTAGCAATAATGTTGCTCAAAATCGCCATTAGCAAGAATGCAATCTAAAACCTCACACTTATAAGTGAAAAAGAATACCACTAGATTGCATTACTAAGTGGCAGTACTAATGAATATTTAATTTCAGCATATTTGAACCAAGGTTCTAAAAGTCGCTAGGCGCTAGTCGGGCGGCGGGCTGGGGCCTAGCGCCTAGGCGGCTAGGCGGGCGCCTAGGCGGCTAGGCGGGCGCCTAGGCGGCTAGGCGGGGCCTAGGCGGACTAGGGGGATTTAAGTAAATCTATCATATTTCATGTAAATAAGTGTCTGCTTCTACTTGAAATATATATAATTTCATCATAAACTACAAAATAGAATGCATATATATCATGAAGTATTGGAACATAATGAAAACATGTGAAATAAGGATATAATGTTTGTTCATTCAACTATGCAACAAGTCTCTTACAATTTATTGGAAAAAAACAAAATGCAAAATGAAAGTTATGTATTCTTTGTCTAAGTGAGTTGCAACCTAGGCGGGTCTAGGCGGGTGCCTAGGCGGGCTAGGCGGGTGCCTAGGCAGTCTAGGCGGTGGGTTGGGGCCTAGGCATTAATCGGGGTGGTGGGCTGGGGCTAAGCGCCTAGGCGGCGCTAGGCGGGGATTTTTAGAACAGTGATTTGAACACTAACCGAGCCCTAGGCTATGCAAGTACTTTACAAGTGGCGTTATGGGTGGCAAACACCCTTTCAAACCGTACAATAAACCCAATCGATTTTTACAACTACTTTTTTATGGCACTTTAGTAGTTTGGAAGGGGTGAAAGCTCAAGTTGCAAAGTATCCCATTAGGCCACCATCACCGGGTCAACCTCTCTTCTTTCGACCACCACTTGGTCCAACTCTCTCCACCACCACATAATTTCCGATTTTAATATTTAAGTTTTCTAATCCAAGTTCTTATTGATATGATGTTAAACATTGAAATTAATGTGTATTGGTTGAAAATTTTTGTTTGCAATAGACTATAGATATTGATATGACTTACAAGAAAACTATATAGAGTTTTCCCTTTTTTGTTCATGTGCTGGTTTAGCTCATATGCACAAGTAATGAATGCAATAAAGCCCTAGCAAGGGATACCAGACCGATCCTGCTCCGGCCACAACATTTGTACATTTAGATGTTACTACCATGCTATCAAGAGGATTAGTTGCTAAGCGTACAATATCTTTATTCGCACTTCAAATATGAATACTACTGTCAGAGTTTTATGATTTAAGACAAAATCAAATAGCAAATTTAGATGCCACTACCATACTATCAAGAGGATTAGCTGCCAAGGATACAATATTTTTATTCTCATTTCAAATATGAATACTATTGTCGGAGTTTTATGATTTATGAAAAAATGCAAAGCCCCTTATCGGATTTGAACCGATGATTGACACCTTACGGGTCCGAGGTAAGTAATAACTAGTTAGACCAAAAGATACGGTTGCAATAGTTTATCCACTTAATTAGTTTTATGAAATACGTGTTCTTTATGTGGAATGAGCAATTATCCACTTAATAAGATTAATATTTCTTAACAAAAATTAACGACGACTTAGTGCCTTGAAAATAAAATAAAATAAAATAAACTTCATCAATTTTTCATCATTCATCCCTTTTAATGGAAGATATTGTTCTTCTTTCTTTTAAAGACCAGCTAATAGGAGGGGAGAAAAATGAAAAAGATGTTTGGTATTAAAATAAGTTTGGGCTTGTACAAGAACTAA